GGCTCGAACTCACAAGCTGTGAGATCGTGAACTAGTGAGAGTCTGAATTTGGTGCCCAACCGACTGAGCCACCCGGGCGCCCCAGGAAAAATAATTTAAATGTAAAACCCTCAAGCGCCTTATTGTTTGTATGATGTGTTCTTTTTTCTACTCCCTGCCGCTCAAATTTTTAAAAGTGTGGTTGAAACTTGAGTTAAAATGCCAATTCCCTTCTCTCCAATTCTACTTTATGTGGTTCAAAAAGAGTATTTCTAATGTATGGGGCTTTCAAAGCATGCATGGCTTCCAGTGACTATACGTTTCTCTTTGAAAGTTTGGTGAACTGAATATCCCAGAAGAGCAGTGGGTTTTGGCAACTCATTAACATCCCTCAGTGGTGGCAGTAACAGATGAGGGACCGCCCACCTTTGGCAGTGGGGGCCAAAATGGCTCCGCCCTTCTCTGTCAGAGTAAAGGCCCCGCAACATGAACTAGGAAGACAAAACCATAAACAGACCACAACGCCTAGAGAACGGAGTCTAGTTTTCCAGAAGCACCACAGTTTTTCCATACATTTATAAAGTCAGAGTTTCAACTGTTTCTAACACTGTATCCTTATTTACATAACCATGCTGACCTAAAAAATGATGGATTTATAAAAAACATAATCCTACATGTTTCTATTTTTCTCACCATTTGTTGAGATGGCTCTACCTATGATCTCAATGCGATGCAGCCTGCGTTTTCTATTCAACGGTCCATCATGAATGGGCGGCCCATAAGCATTAATTTAAAAACTTCCTCAGAGAGTCTACCTGTAGATCGTCTGTCACATAAAGGGTGGCATAACCATACGGGTATGAGAACAGCAGAATGGGAGTCGGGAGGCTCGAATGACAGTCTCTACTCCTCCAGTACTGCTGAGATCTCAGGCAAGTTGTATTAGCTCTCCCAACTTTGTTTTTATTGAATAGCATCTGGAGAGCACCGGATTGAATGCTGCTGAAGAGTTTCATCTCTAAAATTCTATGACTTAATTAAGTGTCTATTGAATGCAAATCATGTGACAGGTGCTATGAATAAACATGAATACATGCATAATACATGGCCCAGGCACTCAAGGAGCTTCCTGATATTTAAATAGGCTGTTTTTCCAGAAGGTACAAAATTCGTGATGGAAATGATTTCCCTCAGTGTGTCTTTAAAATCTGAAAGTACGCTGAAAACTCTGACTTGACCACTTTCACGTCCTCTGAACAGGCTATCTTATTACTCCGCAGGCGCGAGGTGGAGAGCGGCGGGAGCAGACCTGGGTCAGGGAGACCTAGGTCTGAAACTCACCTTTTTCACTGACCGGTGTTTCTGTGGACAAGAGACAGAACCTCTCTCGGATTTGCTTTGTGATCTTCTATTATCATTTTTATCATCATTTTATAAAGGAAAAGGTAAAACCCATCCTCTTTTTAGCCCGGAATTCTATTCCCCAGAGATAACTGGGAAGAGGCTTATGTTCAAGTTTTACTTGGGCACACCCCACAGTTGAGGTTCTGCAAGGAATTAATGAATACAATGTAAAACAGCGTGTCTAGTCACTTGCCCTGCGTTTTAAGGAGCGCTTTGGCATCTGCTGGGCATGCCTGTACTTCCCATCGGTCTTTTGCAGGTCCTTGCTCTTCTGCCCCTCCTCACAATTATCCCGATGAAAGATGCAAAGAAAACTCTTCCCAGCATCCTTTCTGAGCACCCAGCCGTGACTCACCGCCCCCCCCCCCCCCCCCCCCCCCCCCCCAACGCTCTGGGCGTCCATACCTTTCACACTGCTTCTCATTTGCCATCGTGATTACCTCCAGGCACATCTTACCCTTCCTTCGGACAGCAAGTGCCTTGGAGACCGGATCTTTGTATGATGCAACTTTGTAAGTATACAATACCCCATACGGTCCCTTCCGAATATCAACTACTCAGTAAAAGCTTGCTTACTTAACACAGTTTAAGGTTTGGTGAAATATTTGAAAATATTAGAAAACAACTGGTTTTATTTTTATTTCAAAGATGGAAAATTCTCAGTTCTATCTCTAAAAGAAAGGCATTTGAATTTTGGAAAAATGCCCTATCAATTGGGCCACCCATAGTCTTGCAGGAGACCTCTCAGAAATCACCTCTGACAGAGGATGTCAGTATGTGGGAGAGAGAGGAAGAAAGAAACTCTGCTATCATCTGTGTTCTCCAGAACTAGGCAGCAGCCTGGACTAGCCACCCTCCTCAGTCTCCTCCCTCACAAACTCACAAGAATGGCAATCAAGAGGGAAGCGTTGTGTATTGTTTTTTCTTTTTCAATTAACGTGAACTGAAATTTTAAAAAAAGCACAAGCCTAACATAAAAGCTTCCTCATAAAGCATGTGTAACATCGCAGTCAGAAGCAAGGTAGCTGAGCACCGTTAGCATGTACACAGCAAATCAGGCACAAAAGGGTGGCCCAGGAGGCCGGCATCATGCGGGTCCCCCCTGTACATGTCCCTGCTCCATTCTGCCCCGTCTCGGTCCTTCCGCAGCCTGTACCAAGTATTCATGGATGGAACAGGCCATTTTCAATCTAAATCTTGTTATAGATTAATAAGCAAACATTTTCTTGCTTATTATGCAATTTATCACGATGAAAATTACATTGGACTCCTCAAGGCTACATGCTGATACATTCATTTATTCAGAGCTGTGTATAGAGAGTTATACTAATCTTCATGACAGAAAAGGATGTAATAGCAAGATTTAAATTACGTACTGAAGCGCTAAAGTATTTGTGTCTGTGGACATACTACATGTAGATAAAACACAGCACATCTTTATGTTTGCTGATAGAAGCTTTGTGTACACGGATTTAAAAACAAAACAAAGCAAATTTTAAATACTATGCCTAAAATAAAGCCCATTACTTCTCCCAGGCAACAAAACAAGACTGCACACTGTTGAAATTGTGTTTAGATCAGCCTTGAAAATAGGCTATAAAATTAGGTCAAAACAAAATTCTAGACTCCTTGGAGGGTGTACAGGGCACCTGCAGCCAAGGGGGACAGCAAAGGGTTGGAAATATGTTCTGGGCTTTGCACAAAGGCCAGCTGCCTCTTACTATTGCTTCCAACTCACAGGCTCACTTTCTTCCTAATTCTTAAAGTCAATCAAGAACTGCAGGCCTCCTGTATCCAAAACCTATGCTGGCTGCCATTATGTCAATTATTCATTCTAGAAATGAGCTGCTCTTGGTCTGCGGAACATTGAAACAATGACAATGGATGGCGTCACCACTGACACTACCACCTGTTGGGAACATCCATTCAACCTTTTAACATGTGCTAAGTACTCTTTTAAGCAGTCTGCAAATACAAACACATTTAATATCAACCTTATGAGGCAGGTGCTTACCTAGCCCCAACTTGTAGACGGAACCGAGGTTAAGAGGTGAAGTGACCTACTGAAGAGCATACAGCTAGGGAGACACAGAGGTGATGTTTAGAAGTGTGGTTGTATGACAGGAAGTTGGGGGGGGGCAGTTGCCTAAACTAGAATAAATGCCTTCTCCTACCAACCCATCTTGGGACTCGGGGCCAGGAATACCCAATCTGCTGGCAAAGCCACAGTCCAGCCTCTACTAGCTTCTTTGGTCTCCACTTCCTGAGCCTAGTGCAGCCCGCAGAAAGACTACAGGCCCAAAGCCATGCTGGGTCATAAGGAAACCGTGGGCTATGAGAAAGACAACCATGATGAAAAGGGCAGAGATTTCTAGTTTTTTCCAAGGGTAACAAAGATAAGAATGAAATGCCCATTGAGAAAAATCAAAGAGGTGATAACATTTGCATTTAGAGAGGCACCTGGGCCAGTTCAAGGATTCCTAACTAGGAATTCCCACCAGCTAAGATGGCTATACTAAAAAGAAACAAAAACAAAAACCTTCCTCTGGGGAATTAGTCAAGATAAACCTCTATCACCACCCCCAAACCCCTTCCCATCATTCTTGGCCACTTGGTTACCAACGGTTTCCTACTGATTTGATTTTAGTGGCTCCCTCAACTCATCTGCCTTTCCCGGGACCCTCATCTCTGCAACCTCCTATGGCCAGTCATATCCTGTGTGCAAGGGAAGCCTTAAAAAGTGTGATTTTAAAAATCACTATGAGGGGCACCTGGGTGGTTCAGTCAGTTAAGTGTCCGACTCTTGATTTTGGCTCAGCTCATGATCTCACAGTTCATGAGATAGAGTACCATGTTGGGCTCTGTGCTGACAGCAGGGAGCCTGCTTGGGATCCTCTCTTTCTCCCTCTCTCTGCCTCTTCCCCACTCGCATGTGCTCTCTCTCTCTCAATAAATAAATACACTTTATTTTTTAAAAAAAATTTTAATATTTATTTTTGAGAGAGAGAGAGAGAAAGAGAAAGAGAGTGCACATGCACACGAGTGGGCAAGGGGTAGAGAGAGAGGGAGAAAGAATCCGAAGCAGGCCCCAGGCTCTGAGCTGTCAGCACAGAACCCGATGCAGGGCCTGAACCCACGAACCACAAGATCACGACTTGAACCTGCTGAGCCACCCAGGTGCCCATAAATAAATTTTATTTTAAAAATCACTGTGAGTATGAAGGGTAACTCCCCAAACTATGTCCACGTATTCTATTATAAGTAAAACATTTCTGAGCAAGTATAAATATAATTTTCCTTCTAAGTGACATGTTTACACTACTACTAAATAATAATATGTAGTGTTATATATAAAAGGCCCAATAAGCATAATTGAAAAACTATGTCATAGATCAATCAATCAATGCTAAATCCCAATTGTGCCCAAATTATAGAAATATATTTCCCTTTCATGGTCTATAACCAAAATTTCATATACAGAGATGTTTGTCTATTGTTTTAAAAATGCACACTCTGTCAAGGGCCATCAATGACCTCCAACAGAAATAAACAAACGAAACACCAACCAACAAAACACAAACAAAACCCGTCCGCATTAACTGGGATTGAGCACGTACTTGGCGAGCTGTTTCTCGGCATCAGCACAAAGTTCGAGAAGCCCCATGAGGACTGCAGACACGTCCATGTAAGGCTCCCAGACTGTGAAGCCACGGCCAATCAGATCAATGGCTGTTCTTCGGATCGTGCTGTGGGGGGGCAGTTTGGGGCTCGGGGGCTGCAACAGTAGAAATGTCAGCGCCTTACCTGAAATTACAAAATAAAAGACAGAGCAATAGAGAAATTTTACTTTGGTGATGTTTTCTTTGAAGCGTATTTTCAAAATGTAAACCATGTTGGATTTCTTTTTTTTTTTTT